AAACTTGGGTAGCCAAATGCAAAAGAAGATAGGATTATGAATTTTTGCATCATTGTGTAGAAGTGGGAATTTTTGGCAGATTTATCATGCAGGAGCGCAAAAGATCGCTTCAGCTAAAATTCCCCCTTGCTCACAACTACTCCAAGTACAGGAACTCATCCTACATTCTAAGCTGCTCAGTTTAGAAGAAAGGGGTGCTGGTAAAGGATATAGGAGTGGTTGATGAAAATCAAAGAAGTGCTGTGGAAAGGAATGGAAATTTGACGCAATTATAATAGCAATCGATTTAAGAAAGGATGAGTGAATTGCATTAATAATAAATCACTGAACTGTCATCAGTGCAGCATAATTTTGCTTGTAAGAAACTGTTGCTGACAGGAAAATTTGGAATGGACCAACAAAGCAAAGGAAGCATTCACATGCCACACATATCTATGTCCAATGGGCCCATCATGGTTTACTCAACTAACCCAGCTTCCTATGTTTGTTTGAGACACTGAACTGAAAACCACCCAGATGGGTTGGATTTGTACTATACTACCTGTGGTTGCCTGCTTTGTGGCTCAGGGTGTCAAGCAAGCACAGCTAGACTAAATGTATAGCATGACATAGTCTGGGTTTGTTGATAAAGATCCTTGATCCTGTTGCTTGTAGGGTTGTAGTGCAGTTGGAAAGGGTGGAGGGGAAGGGGAGAGATCCAGGAAAATACCAATCATCCTACTCAGGCACCTGAAGCCAGATGACAATCTAAAGCACACACCCATCATTCCTTAAGAATTTTCATCCTGCAGACAAATATGCCACAGGCATGAATGGGCATGAGGAGTCTGTACTGAATCCAAGTTGCAATTATTAGCTGCCATGCTTGCAAAAGAAATGAGGGAGACTTACAGCAAACATTTTAATATAATTTGTAATAGGATTTATACCAGGCATATCAGCATGGTGTGGTCAAAAAAGTCAAACCTAGGTGGAGCTTCAATTGCATCATCATAGCACCATCTTGACTTTTTTGACCATACCCTGTGAACGCCCCTGAATTACACTGATCATTTATCCCAGGTAAGTGTTGCATATTATAAGGGAAGCCCTTATTTCTGCCAGTGACATGGAGATGAGATTTATACCTACGCTGTGCATTTTGAGCTGATGCTTCCTTGAAAGGCTGATGACCCTAAGATCAACAAGTATTATTCCAAGCTTATTCAATAGTTAGCTATTTTCATAATTTATAAGGCTGGGTTCACACATTATGTTAAGCCATAGTTCACTTAGCCATGGCCTGTTGAACAAGCTGCAATTGGCTGGATTCACATGACACCTTAGCCAACACCTGGCCCCTCACTATTGGCCTTCCTTAAGGTGGTTAAAGCAATTTTGTTTAGGCAGGTTTTTGAATCTTAGTGGTAATATTCACCTGCTGTTTTTGGCTGGATTTTTATTTTGTGTGTTGGCAGTTGGTGTGGCATTTTGTTGGATTTTTATGGTATTTCGTTGTTTTTTATGTTTGTTAATCATATAGAATCTTGGGATGGAGTGGTACATAAATAAATACATAAACACAAGTGAAACTGTTGTACTGAGGTCAAGAAAGGGAACCCAAAGTGTGATTCCCAAACTTCTGCACAGTGATATTCATACTGCAGATATGTAACATTTAGTTTCCCCAAAAGGATTCTGAGAATTGTAGGTTGATTAGAATGCTAGGAACTGTTAAAAACCCCGAGCTTCTTTTATAGAACTGCTGTACTCAAGAGTTCTTTCCAGACAGTAACACAATTAATAAACTAGTATATATGTAGAATGCTGACTGATGTGTCCTTGTTGAAAAAAAAATCACCCCCCCTCAATAAAGCATAATTAGTCAAAACTATAGAATGGTGTGTGTGTGTGTGTCAAACTTTACAGATTAAATAGTAACGTTTTCAATATCTCTTGCCTTTTCCATTTTGGCCTAACAAATTCACTCTGTCTTGAAGCTCCATCTTCCCATTACTACTGGAATCTTAACAGTTAGTACTTCCTAGTTAACACCTTACAACTCAACTCATTTGCTACAAGCCTCAGATTGCGGTGCTGATATTTATAAACTACCTCAGTCCAAATGGATGCTAGGTGGTTTATAGTTTATGTAATAAAGTGCAAGACTAATAGTACCATAATGTAATAAAAATATAAAACAATATAACCATACAGCAGAATCGAGTTCAGCATTGACAGCTGTGGAATCAATTCTGAAAAGTCAAGTATTTACAACTTTCTAGGAAGCCATTAGAGTCTATGTTTGTAACTTACTCATATTAAACTATTTTTATTAGTAGCTTCCAGTCCTAAAGCTTCCTGGCATTAAAATGTATAGTTGCTAATATAGTATTTATCTCAGTTCTCCTGTAAATATGCCAAATATTTAAGCATTTATTCTTAGATTTGGCCAGTATTACAAATCCAGGTTTTCCAGGCAAGCAGAAACTGAATTGATCTCTATGGAGTCCTTGGGGTTCTCTGAGCTTGGTTCTTTTCTTGCAAACATTTCATTCCCTGGCTCGGTACCATCTCCAGTGCTAGAATGGGATGGGGTTTGCTCTCTGTTTATATACTGTGGCATGCCCTGCCAGTGTTGATGGAGGTTGGAGTTGTGTGTTGCCTCTGGTAGTTCCTTGATTCTGTGACTGGTGGTAAACTCTGCTTATCTGGGTGATGATTGCTGGTGAGGAGATGTTCTGGTCTTTTATTTTCTTTTCTATTGTCTCTTTTGAATAGTGTGTAGATGCCGTTTATCTCTACGTGTCTGTTGATTGCTGCCTTGTCTGAATTGATCTTTTTTGGATTTTCAAAGGTTGGCAGATTTCAATCTGGCTCAGAACTAGCATGACCAAGCTCCTCATAAACCAGTTTCAGCAGGAGGTAAATTTCTGGTGATAGAATTGTAGTACATAAGGTTGGAAGGGACTTTGGAAATAATGTGGTCCAATCCCCTGCCCAATGTAAGAAACTGCTACTACAGCAGCCCCGACTCCAGCAGATGATCATACTGCCTCTGTTTAAGCACCTCTAGAGAAGGAGACTCCATTACCTCCTGTGGTAGTCTGTTTCATTGTTGAACAGATTTTAGTGATAGAATGATTTTCTGATGTGCAACCAAAATGTACTTCCTTGTAATTTAAACTCATTGTTTCTTGTCCTGTTATGTGGAAAACCACGAACAATTCTGCTCTAACTTCTACATGACAACCCATTGGATATTTCAAGGCAACTTTAATGACTCCCCACAATCTTCTCTTTTCCAGGCTAAACCCACCTAAGGTATTTAATCACTCTTCATAAGTTCCTCCTAGGTCCTTTATCATCTTAGTTATTCTACCCTGAACTTGTTCTGGTTTATCAATGTTGTTCCTAAAATACAGCACCTAGAGCTGTAAGCAATGTTTTAGATGTAGTCTGACCAATTCACAAGGGAGGCATGATGACTTTTGATGTTGATCTTGCATTTGTTTTTGGTTTTTTGCGTACCGTTGCCTCATGCATGTCCTTTTTGTATGTGATACTGCCTTATATGCTCTCCTCTTACTCATGCCTTTGATTTTTCCCAACCAAATGAAGTATTTTTTTTTTGTCCTCACTGAATTTAATCTTGCTGGTTTCTGCCTATTGTTCCAGCTCAATGTTCTTTCAGGTGCTTGCTGTCTCCCCTCACTTTTGTCTTCTGCAAATATGATACTCATTTTCAATAATCATATTTTCTATCTTCTCCTCCAAGCTCTTTATGTCTATGTTCAACAGCAAAAGGTCCAGAACAAACCTTTCTGCAGACAATGGAATATATTCCATGACACCATGCACAGGGCTGGACCTGATATTGTTTTATGTCAATCAGAATGCATCATAACTAGTAATGACCTTGCATTTTACTTGAAATATATCACATTTTAAATGCACTGACTGGAATTGGGGCATCAGTTGTAAACGACTGCTTTTTTCTTTTTTCTTGATAGGCTGCCATCTACGTTGACTGTGCTGTATAACAGCCATATACAAAACTTTGATGTGAAAGATTGTCTGCTGAATGGTTCTTTCATGATTCTCATCCTGTTCAGAAATGTATGGTTGTTTTTCTTGCTGGCAGGTGATACTTGGTGGGAACAAAAAACAAAGCTGGGGACTCTATCAACTGCATGTTGTCCTGCATCAAACCTGTAAGGACAGCACTATTGGCCAATGTTATTACTGAGGCAAATTGCAGCTCAGCTATAAGGCTAGTGTAATCTATGTTGGCATGTGTGCTGAGTCAAGAACTGCATGTCAATGCAGCTGCCTAGCTGTGCCCTTGAATAGCATTCTCCATGCTGAAGTAGCTGATGATACTAATGTACAAGTTCATCTTGAAATCTTTGCATTTACAGGCACTTCTACTTCTGAAGCATAGCCCCCTCTTGCTTGATTTCAATGGACTGTGGCATCCACACGTCTACTGAGGATCAGGCAACACTACATAAATGGCCAGATGAGAGTTTAGGTCTTGCCTCAAAAAAAAAAAAAAAGCAGCAAGCTGGATTACCTACAGATATTTATAGCTTTACCAAGCAAGAAAATATTTAATTATAGAACATGGGCTAGGTGAGCCTCTTCAAAATGTTAAATTCTGATAAAATCATAATACGAAGAATGAATCCAGATTTGTTATACACTACATTCATTAGAGTAAATGAGCAACAAATTAATGAAAATGTGGAGTTATGCTGTAACATTTCCACCAAAGAATCAACATTCAAGTATCAAAACCAGAAATCGCCTTTCCTTGTAAATACATACATAAACACAAAGTTATGTTGAAAAAAATTGCTGTTAGGTTTGAAAGAAATACAAAACAGGCAAGGAATGAGCTACTGAGAATTCTTAATCAGGAATTCAGGAAAAGAGTTTTTTCTATGTAAGGCTGACTCTAACAGTACTCGGTCACACACTAACTGGATTAAACCGTTTTAGAAATGCAGCATGCTCACCAAACCTCAGGATAGTACTGGCAAGGCTTCATTAAATCACAAACCCTCTCTGCATCAGACGGACAGCAGTGGGCATAACTTGATCAGTGTAGCCAGTCACTCTGCTGGGAAGACTGCTATGTTGCCAGGGTTTGGTTGTATTTTCTGTAACAGAGAGGCTTACATTTTTCAACTGCTCTTTCTCCCTGGCTTTTTCTTGCAAAATGAAATAGGTTGACTGAGTTTACATTTCCCTCAAAAGACTTAACTGTTAGTGGAAATGGTCAAACAGACCAGATTTGTCTGGGGGCTAAATTTAACGTCCTGGGAGCGCAAATAACTCCTTATTGGGCATCCTGGAATGTACAAATCCTCTTTGACACAATTAAATATATTGTGGGAATAGGAAGGAGTCTGGTAGCACCTTTTCCGAAATGACAAATTTGATTAAAAGGCATAAGCTGCTATCAGGTTCTTTCTGATTTTGGTCTACAATAGGCTAACATGGCTTTCCTCCTATGATGTTGGAATAGGGTATTTGTGTTCCAATAAGAGTCTCTACTCTTACTGTTCTTTCCTGAGGATTTTCCCATCAAAGCAAACAAATATTGCTGATTCACAATTTAACATTATGTTAAGTTGAAGCAAGGTGATTTGATTTTGGCTTGCTTTAACAGATTCCACTTTAAGCTTTCTAGATTGTTCCCAGTTTGGAGGTTACTAAATTCCATTAACTTTAAAGCAGATTGCTTTCTACCTTCTCCAGGAAGTGAAATCCTGTACATGACTACTAGCATGCCATAGGACTATCTCAAGTCCATGTACATTGAAATGACACCTAAATCTGTGTTTACATTTCAAAACCACACAAATATGGGTTAGTCCACACTTTACTAAATAATGGTTTTAAAATCAACACAAATTGCAAAAGTCAGAACTTTTAAACCAATCCACCCTTGCTCATATATACATGAAAATATACTAGTTTCCATTTTTAACGTTTGCAATTCCAATTAGAAATGGAGTGAAGCTAAGTACGATGGGAAACTCTTTGAATCCTTCAGAAGTAACCCACTGATAATGGTTCCCGAAGCCGCTCGGCGTTTAAGAAGTCCTCTACTGGCATCGCACTTTCGTTGCATGCAGTGCGACGCAGGGAGGGGAAAAAAAAAAAAAAGCATCAAGTGATCTCTGAAAAAAAAACCTCACAAGTACCACTTTCCCATTTCGTTTTAGTCCTCGCCTTCTTCCTCAGGCATCATGGGAAGTGTAAGCTGCACCGTGGCTCGAGGCGTCAGAGACAGGCCAGAACTACATCTCCCAGGCAGACCCGAAGGAGGAGCAGCGTTGACGCAGGCGTGTTGGAGTGCGGACGGAAAAAGGGGGGGCGTGGCCTCGCAGCCTGTCTCTCGCTCGCTGGCGGAGGGAGAGAGGGAAGAAGAGTATCTCTGTGCGCGCGTCTTTCGGGGGCGGTCGCCATTTAGCGCGGCCAGTTCCCCCTCGCTCGGGAGAGGTGGCAGTGAGAGGCCCATCCCCCACTCCCCTCACGAGTGGGAGGGAAGGACGGACGGGAAGAAGCCGCGGCGGCAGGCAGGCAGGGCTGGGCGGGCGCGGCGCCCCTTCTGGGTGATTTCTCCGCCTTTCCTCCCACTCTCTCAGGCCAGGCGCTCTCGGAGCCGAGGGTGGCCTTCTTCTC